CCGAGTTGATGGAATGTCCACGTAGTGTTGATAAGCAGTGAGGAACCCTTCGTGATCACATCCAGTCGTTTCCCCCCATTTCCTCCTCCCTACTTTCCTCTCTCACAGACAAAAATTGTCATCACATAGGACACAAAAACAGCATTTTCCGGTAACATGGGCGCAGATTTTCTTGTTGATGCACCTCTTTCCAATTCTTTGGTGTCATTGGTGCTCCTCTGGATTCATGAGATATGTGATGCAGTTCGGTGAGTCTCTGCCAATTCGGACATCCACAGCAGCTAACAAAAGTGTTGTTATTCGCATTAGACTGGGTAAAACTTGTTAAAAATGCTCCCAGAGATACCGCCGCTTGCGTTCTATTCACGACAGCTGGTGTTCACGGAAGTCACTGCACCCCAGTTGTGACTGAAACCTACGGAGACCAAGGCCATCCAAATCAAGACATGAAGTTGCCTCCACTACTTTAGCAATACCATATTTTAGCAACTGGTCAAGGATCACTTAAGTGTCCAGCCTTTGAGACCGCTTTTACCTCTCCTTCACAGCTCTACCACGATTGGTTGCCCAAGGTGAGTGTGATCTCCAAAAGGGCTGTTGCTGCTCTCTCCAATGTTTGTCCCCGACTTCCAGAGACATCCACAGCTGCCGTACAAGAACAGCTTCCACCGTCTGCCCCAGGCCACCCTACTCCGTAAGATTTCCGTTTTCCGCGTTTTTTGGTACGATATTAACAATATCTCTGCCACTGTCACATATACGTGACGCGTCGACTTATCCAATCTAAGACCCAAAGTCACATGTATGTGCCGCGTTCTATGCAACACTTTATATTACCGTTTGCACGTGTCTGTCCGTTGAACAAACCGACGATAGAGGATTGTTAGTGGTCCAACTTTGAGGACTGTTTGTTTCCCCAGCCCCAAAATAGCATGATGTGCCTTCTTGAATTACTGCGTAGCGGGGTGCAACCACGGTTGTCTAGCAAGGCGATTGCCCTTACAATTTATACAAGGAAAACCATATGGAGTGAACGTGCTTGGGGCTCGTGCCAGCAAACTCCACCGAAGAGGAAGGCAACTCATTCTCCCACACGATGGGTGTGGGTTTGTCGGTAGAAAGTTGTCTACCTCCCTACCTCCTTTCCTCCCACGACCATAACAAAACATCATTGTGGAAGGGCTCTGTGACTACAAACAGGAAACATGATGGTGGTAGAGTCTGTGGACTGAGGAGTACTTATTCAGTTACTTATTTTAACAAACTTTGTTTACCTGCGTTCATTTGCAGGCCAAATCTGACATTGACACCTCCAGAACTGACCATTTCCAACAGTCCTCCAAGTCCTGAAGCCATGTCTGATTCTCCCACCGACTTGCCCTCGACGGAGACTGAAGACTCGCCTTCCACCTTCCACAACTTCCATCATCGCACCTCCATGCTCATGTCACCGTTCCCCTCCAGACTGCAAATTCGCTGCATGGATGAAGACGAGGACTTGGCTGTGATTGATCAAGTCAATCGTCGTTTGGCTTTGGGCCAACTGGAACCTTCACTGCCTTGGGTGCCAGTTCCACCAGGGGCTGGACTACTGGGCTACCCACCTTCAACGACTGAACAGTACTCCGAGTCCTTCGCCGAAGCCGCCTTCCAGCACCAGCAGCACCAGGAAATGATGTCATCGATGATGGCGACAGCTGCGACTTCATTGCAGGGTGGACATTGCTTCTTCCCCATGGAAACGACCCTCCCAATTGGAAGTGGCGAATCAGTGCAGTATAATCTGGCAAGTTCAACTCAGAAATAGTCTTTTGGACTTTCACGTTTGCACACTCTGCACAGCATTAAGAGTTGCTTCAGCTGGAAAGATTTAGCAGTGCTGCTGTACACTCATGCAACAGTTTGCCTCACATCTCTACCAGCGCTGAGATTTCCACTTCTGAGGCATTCTCTCAGGGCTGTGAGGAGGAAGGAAAGCAGCCTGTAAGGGTCGTGCTTCATCCAGGAGAGACAATGCCCTCCTCTCAGTCGTACCGAACCGTTTCCTTGTTCTGACATCAACGTCTGTGCCACGACACGAAGAGGTCGAAAATGTGCTTCTCGGATGCATTTACTGCAAATATTTCGGCGGTGGCAGTGGTGTTAAAGCGTGGTCGTCCATGCACTGCGTTGATGCTCGCTTTGTTTCATGAGTGAAACGTCGCATTCCAGCTCGGTCGCTCCTTCAACGCAGTGCGCCATTCAACTCGATTGGGGAAAGATGTTTCAGTGCCCAGAGGAGAGGGCTACTTTTTCCAAATTGCATGAGAAGTTCAGGTGTCGACGAGGTGCATCTCACACTGAGGGTTGCATTCCAGAGCGATTCAAATGAACTGGCCCACAGCACATACACTCCGGTTTTTAGTGAAAGAACACACCTGTCAATTGCTGCGACAGGATGAGTGGACCGACGAACACTGGGGTGGATTGAGAGATGCATGCAGGATAAATGGTTGGATGGATGGCCACAAGATGGGTGGATGGATGGATGGTTGGATGCAGAATGAAGTAATCAACAAAGGTGGGAGAATGGATGGTATGACCCTGGAATTCCGCATGGATGTACTTTCCACATTTTAATTGATGCTCGCAGTGTGGTTGCCACCCATTCAGCTCAACAACAAAGTTTTCTTTCACCAGGTGTTTCAGCCCTTCCAATTTGAATTAGGCTGAACTCATGAACCAGTCCCTCTCCTCTCCCCTTCTTTTGATTGAGACAACCTTAACTCCTGATTCCCCCACCAGATGCTATAAAAGCTACCCCAGGTAAATAAACCGACTTTATAAAGAAGCGATGCAATACCGTTTGAATATCAGTGTCTGCGAATCCCCTCCCACATGGTGGGGGAGAATTTCACTTGGCAATGTCGGTATTTACTCCAGGTCATATTGGGACAAAAATATCTCCACACTGCTATTTTTTCTCTCTTTTACATTGAAATCTAAACATCCTGCCTCATTGACAATGTCACAGTCGTTTTTTATTTCAACGGTATATTGTTGTGATACGACAGGGCTAAATTTTGCCAGTAAGGGCAGCAAAATCATGTGGCTTGGCGAATGACCCCACATCTAGTGTGTTGATACATCGTGGTCAGACTGGCGAAGACCGTGGATGGCTAAAATGACCACTTAAAAGGCACCTTTTTATCACACACTACATCAGTGGGAATTTCGGCTTGAAGTGGAATATCAAATTAAGGTTATTCGGCAGCAATCACCTGCACCTGTGGACATGCTACTCACTTCGGGCGTAAGTAGCATCCACCTTCACACTTTTTTATGTGTTATAGGCCTCGCGAGTCTTTTATCAACCTGAGGGCAACGCACAACTTTCGCCTCCTGTCGAGGATCCTCAAAGTGAGGTGAGAAATTTTTCTGTCAAGTGTCAATTCCTATTGCCTGTTGGTCAATCGTTTGTCCTCGGGTTACCTGTCAGTGCTAAATAACTTCACTTGGAGGTGGAGACAATCTCGTCCATTAAAACCTCTTTTCTTGTAAATGAGAGGCAGCAAAGCTGTTCCCTCATCACCTTCAAAATGGTTTCCAAAATGGATGAGTTGTCATGTCAAGGGTCCAAGTTCATTAGCCACATTCCTTTGATTCCTGGAACCTCCTTTGACGATGCGTTGAACACTAGTGGAATGAGGAAATCAAAACC